AGAGAGAGAGAGAGAGAGAGAGAGAGAGAGAGAGAGAGAGAAACAGGCAGCTCTCCAGAGCTCTAGCTTACTGGCCAGCCAGTCTAGACAGTCTGAGCTCCAGGTTCACTGAGAAACCCAGTCTCAAAAAAGAAAAAAAATACAGGGGAAATCGATACACCATTGACATCTAGCCTCCACAAGCACAATACCCACATGAACACATATACACCTATAACACACACACACACACACACACACACACACACACACACACACACACACACACACACACCATGGAGTCTAATTTTGTTGGCCAACTATTCCTGACCATGAGGCCTGCCTCCCCTGGCCTGTGGTTGATATACCCAGTGCCACTCGGTTGAAGAAAACTGATTCTCCTTCTCCTAGCAGATATCAGTTGCCTTTTCCAGACGCAACAGGGCCAGTGCCACATGCACTCAGAGAGACTTGTGACAGCATGTACAGGACCTGTGCAAGCTCAAGCCAGACAACACTCCAGCACAGGAGAAAGGGAAGTAGGTCCGAAGTCCCACCCCTAGCCAAGAAGGTACACCCCTTAAATCCCAGCACTCAGGAGGCAGAGGCAAGTGGATCTGTAAGTTCAAGGCTAGCCTGTTCTCCATAGTGAATTTCTGGCCAACCAGGGCTACAAGACCCTGTCTTTGAAAAAAAAGTAAAACTCACAGTATTTTGCCAAGTCTAGTGAGTTCAATAGCACATATATAAAATTCCTACCAAGGAAAATGAGCGTAAGTGTAAGAGTTCAGAGTTGGGTCAACTCTACATGCGACTGTCTGGTAGCTGCTGGTACCACCCAGCACCCGGGTTTATTTTCATCTCTCTTCCAGGACAAATGAAATGAATCGTGCACGTTCTTGTTTAAGACAGGCAGAAGAGGCAGAAGCCTGTCCCCCAGCATGGAATCTCGAAGTCCACCTTTCCGTCTGATGGAGCCATATTGTCATGTGTATTTTTAGAAAACTAGCTGTCAGGGGCACACCTAAGGTTAAGTGGTTTAAACAGGGCCCGCCTCTTCCGTGTCTTGTCAGATCTCTGGGCAAACTGAAACTCTGTTTCACGGAAGGAAGGGGTCAATGGATATTGAGTAAGAAGTTAGTTTTCCATCTCGCCCACCTAACCATGAGGTCATCCTGAACGGTCACATTGAGTGTATAAGATCAGTTCCTCTTAGAGTTGACTCAAACGTCAAAGAGACAACTTGGTGAAGCATGAGACATCGATGTCCAGTTTTGTAGAACCCAATAGTCAGCAACTATTCAGGAAGCTGTTTCCCCGAAGAAGAGCCTGTGAAGGATCCGAGTCAGGACACATTCAGCTCCAAGAAGCTGGACACCCACCCACTACAGGGCCATCAGCAACACAGATGTGGAACTCAGTCTCCAGCCGGGAGATGGGAGGTGTCATGTTTATGACCACGGCGAAGCCATACTTGGGCAAGCTAGGCTGCTGCTGCTCGTCTTCGTCCTCATCCTCAGGCACGTCGTCACCTGACCGTGGGTCCTGCGAGTGTTTGTCACACAGTTGTATGAGAGGTCTCGGGCCACCTTACTATCATAGTGAACAAACACCTAGAACACTAGGCTGGCCCACACATCTGTTCCCTATTCCTCCAGTGCCCTCCCCGGCTGGAGAGCACCTGCCCAGATTCCAGACCACCCTAAATCACCTCCCTGCAATTGTTTGCCCCCTTATTCTTTGTGCCCCCGTCAGAGATTTTTCCTTTGACCCTGGGGTTATCTTTTAGGAGACTGCAGGTTTTTTCCCAGGTTAGTCTTCCCTCTAGATCAAACAAATCCCTTTCCATTCACCTTTGTGTCTGTTACTGCCTCACAGTTTGAATAAACACTTACTGACTTAAATGGTCAAATGACTTAACTTCTGTTTTTCCACTCTGTGTGTGTTTCCATGTCTGTGGGTTTCCTCAGAAGGACATAGTATCTTAACACCATATATATATATATATTTCCTGTTCTTTTATTCTGCTGGTCTATGGACATTAATCTCACCACTCAAACATAGTCAGCTCCTCTGTAATAATAAATGTATGTAGGTGTTATCAACTCCCCCACATACCTTGGAGAATGGTGTAGTGGAAAACTGCAATTTAGACTCACACTGACCTAGGCTTTAATCATCGTTCACCCATGAACTCTGTGATCTTAGGCAAGTGTCTTAGCTACTCTAAGCCTTTTTCTTCTATTTAGAAAAAGGGGAGTGGGCAGGGAGTATGAGGTGATACCCTGTCAAAAACTTAGATAATAAAACAGTATCTTGTTTAACATTAGAAAGGATAACTGCTAGATGAATGTTAGTTACCCTGCTAACTAATCACAGGTGGACGGTGGGGATGCTGGACAAGCCAGCAGTGAGGAGTGGACCTGCCTGTCTCTTTAAAGAGTCAGGGCCAGAGAAACCCTGTCTCGAAAAACCAAAAAAAAAAAAAAAAAAAAAAAAAAAAAAAGAGTCAGGGCCAAGCCCTCGGGTAGTCTTGCTGACCTGCTTTGAAATTCTATCCCGGGCAGAGTCATGGTTGTTTCCCTATGCCTGCCTGCCCTGTCTTTCCAGTCCACAGCTGGCAGGGACTCCCACCCTTGCCTGATGCACAAACAGCTGCTTCTCAATAAAGTAGGCAGGTTGATCGGGAAGCAGGCAGACGACAAAAGCCGAGTGTGGACATCCCTACCCTCCACAGCACAGGTGACATCACGGTCACACTGGAATCCTAGCATGTGGGAGGCCAGACAGGAGGATTTCCAAGAATTCTAGGCCAGCCTGGGCCACCTAGTGAGTTCCAGGTCAGCCTAGGCTGAAGTGACACCCAGGCTCAAAAAAGAACCATAAGACCAAACCAAACACCAAAAAGGCACTACAGGTCCAAAGCAGCACTGTGAGAGAGGCCGTGGCCTTTGTACTCCAAATGCTCTAGTGCCTTGTCTACCTCTCTCCAGAGAGAGGGGAGCATGAAACCATTTGCAGATCAATTGATTCCAATGAAAGATTTAAAATGTCTTCCGTTAGCATGCCAAGAGCTTTCACACTTGGTAACTATACCTCTGCAGTCTGTCTTACCAGGACAAATTCCGCTCTCCCTCTTCTCACACCTCGCCCCTCACTTGGCTCTGCCCTCCCCATACTGCCCTTCTTCCTGGGTCACACTGTTCTTTAAGCTTTATTTGGTGATTTGTTTCAGGCATCGAGTTGCCATTGTTTGTGGCCTCTCCCTTGAAAAATGACATTCAGGACATTTAGTGTGCACTTAGTATTTGTTGAGATGGAAACTTCAACAGCACATTTAACAACTTGTAATTTTTCCTAATTTGTGCTGGGTTGTTCAGTTCAGTGAGTCCCTGCGGAGTTAGCATTTGGATGGTTCTAGACTACTGAGCACTCACCTAAACTTTGGGAATGATAGGGCCAAGGTGCTACCAACCCCAGCAGCCAAGACAGAGACCCAGCAAACCTCCAGAAGCCAGAAAATCAAGTTTCTTGGCTTAGTGTTTGCATAGTCTACATTTACTTTTCAGCGTGGATCCCCTGGGTTTGTTTAGAAGTTCCTTGAAAGTCATCAGACGTCTTAGGGGCGTAGAGTTGGGAGTCAGTGGCTCTAGTTTGGCATGTCCGGCCTTTCAATAGAAATTGTAAATATAGCAAACAGTAAATATACTGTGAAACCCACTTAAAACAGAGAATTAAGTATGGCAGTCTTGGGTTCAAATTCCAGCCTTGCTGGCTACTTTGTGTTGGTACATGTTACCTCTCTGAGAATCCATTTTCCTCAGCTCTGGGAGAATGGTTATGACTGAGTTTTATATACACACACACACACACACACACATATATATATATACACATATATATATACACATATACATATATATATATATATATATATATATATATATATATATATATATATAAAACATCCGCTGAAGGTGGAGCACCAAATGAGTATTTCCTAGGTAGTCATTCGATTTGAGGTTATTGATGTAGATGGGGTGGTGATTTGGGTAATGTGTTGCCGGTTATTAACTATTACTAGGTGCAGATATTTGCAGAGGAGGGTCAACTCCGAGTTGAAGGGGCTGCTTTTGTTGAATGAATGTCGAATCAGTGCCCGATGGCATTTGCAGAGTGTCATAAACCTTTTATGGGTCTTTCCGGGTTTTGCTGCCAGGACTGTCTCTGGTAATAGCCCCAGGCATTCCCACTGTCCTCCTACCTCATGCAAATCCCCAAAGCCTCCTGACAGGACCTCTGCACTGTGTGCTGCCTGCCCTGGGGACCTAACTTCTCTGCTCGCTTTTCCTTGGACCCTCTCTGCCTGTCTCTGTTGATCCAGGGTCTTATCTTGTCCTCCCTCGGAGGTATGCTAAGTGCTGTCCCAGGCTGCCCGTTTGCTTGGCCTGTTTTCTCTCACTGCCAGTACCTCTTGGATTCCAATTCCAAACATGGTATCCCTCTGGGGTCACCCTTTCTTCCGGTGCCAAGAGAACATGCATTCCAAATGGAACACAAGTGTGTCTCTCCTGCTGGCTCTCACGCCTCATTCTGCTTGGGAACAAGAGAAAGCTGGATGTGGCTTCGGTGTCCCGCGCTGCTGAAGTTTCTGGTGTTGTGATCCTACTTTCTCTCAGGACAATGTGTGTTTTTCGCTGAGAACTAAATATGAAGACTATCCTAAGAAAGCCGGAGCCAAAGAAGTTTACTGGAACGCTGCAGAGAAGACAAGAGGGTTGCTGAGAGCGAGAGAGGGAGAAGAAAAAAAGAAAAAAAAAACATCCCAAACAACGAACCTCGATTTTCGATCTTCCGCGGTGTGCTATGCTCTGGCATTCTTTCTCAGAGCCACCAGAAGCATTCCTGCCAGCAAAGGTGGAGTCGGTGGTGAGGAGCCACCTGGGAGTACGGATTGATTGATTGTTTTCCCCTCGCTTTCCTTAGTGGAGAGGCCTGGAAAGGCTTGAGAGCCCCGAAGATGAGCGCCAACGGCAGCTCGCTGGGTCAGCTCCTCTGGCAGAGGCCGGTGTGCAGTAGCTGGGAGCAGAATACGGAAGGGTCTGTCTACCACCTGGCCAACTGCTTCTTGCTCATGGGCTTTATGGCAGGCAGCGGGGTGTATGGATGCTTCTACCTCTTCGGCATCCTGGGCCCAGGCTACCTCTGCTATGGGCTGTGGGGCTGGTTCGATGCCTGCGGGCTAGACATCGTCCTTTGGAACTTCCTGTTGACCGGGGCCTGCCTGCTTCAGCTGGCACATCTGCTCTATCGCCTTCGGGTGAATACCCTGCCAGAGGAGTTCAACCTCCTCTACAGGACTCTGTGCCTGCCCCTGCAGGTGCCCCTGCAGGTCTACAAGGAAATTGTCCACTGCTGCCAGGAGCAGGTCTTGAGGCTGGCCACAGAGCAGACCTATGCCGTGGAGGGGGAGACACCCATCAACCGCTTGTCCCTGCTCCTCTCCGGCCGGTAAGCGATTGGTTCTGTGTTGTCAAGGCCTGGAATTCCCCCCAGCCCACACTTCCCATGCCTAATGTCCCTTTCCATTTCGTGTCCCCCCCCCCCTCATCGAGGGAAGGATGTGGCAAGGCAAACATACCCAAATAGATTTTTCTAGGAGTGACTTTGCTTCCTCTTTCTTGACACTTTCCAAGAGGAAACTAGATCATGGAACATCGTTCAGGCTATCAAGGGTGACTGTGTTCACTTGCGGCTGCAAAGTCTGGTGAGGCCAGACCCAAAACACGCCCCCCAGCCCCCAGCCCCCCAGCCCCTCACCCTCCCACCCTTCTCTCTCTCTCTCTCTCTCTCTCTCTCTCTCACACACACACACACACACACACATACACAGTCACACACATATCCTCTAATGTGTAATGCCTACACTTGCAGCAACCTCTCTATGAGCTTTAGAAGACTGACCGTTTCAAATAAGATTGATTTGTTCCTTCCACGTGCATTTAACATTTGCTAAGCACCAACTATGTACAGGAAATAAACCCAGAAACAGGAGGTTTCCAGTGATTCCTGTTCTGCCAGGATATCAAGGAAACACCCCATGTATTTGAGCTATCCTGTACAAGCTTTGGAGTATAGTCCGTGTACTGACAGCTGCCGAGAGGAAATAGCTATGTCTTATTCCCAGTCCGAGTGTTCTATTGAGAGTCTATACTGTAATGTGAGGGCCCCACATGACAGAAGAGTAGTGATGCCCACAGATGTCTCACTGGGGATTTAGCGGAGACATATGCCTCAGAGGAAGAATGATAATTGGACATTGGCTGGCTTTAGGATCAGAGTGTGTCCACTTGGCCTCCATGGCAACGGTGGTCATTGCTGTTTAATGAGAAAACACCATGGGCTCCGTGTGTCGTACTTTATAGCATTTGTGCATTCTTTGAAATGTTGCCTCATAGCCCTTGTTCATAGACAGTCCCTTCTGTCATCTTGCTGGAGATCAACGGTGCCTTAAAAAAAAAACAATAATCAGAGCATTCTAGAAAGGAAAGGGAAAAGGGAAATGGAAGGAGGAGGGGAAAGAGGGAAGGAAAAGGGGAAAGGGAAGAAGGGAAGGGGAAGAAGGAGAGATGGAGGGAGGGGAGGAGAACAAACTAAGATGGCTGACCACACAGGGGGAAAGAGGCTTCTGACAATGGTGGACAGCTGCTGTCAAAGTCATAACATGAACTTATGTCTGCATTTATAGGATCCAATTGTTCTGTGGACTTTGACTTTCTGTTGGACTCAGAAGACATGGGTTGATTGAGTTATGAAGGGAGAGCTTTTATGGGGAGACCCCCATGTATGGGTGAATTGACAGTGTGAGCAAATGCCACAATCTGTAGACAAGCATGCACTGGGACTATTGTCTGGGTGTTCACCACCAGCTTGTAGCTAGAGTTTTCCTGCCTTGCCCACAGTCAGGACAAATCTTTGTCACCCGCCAGTCCCACAGCCGCTCAGACCCAACCAAGTAAACAC